GGACACAAAACTGCCCTATAAGGAGACTCCTGACCCCACAGGTGACAGTCAGCACATTCCACAACCCCGAGAACAGCACCCACCAATGGAAAATCTCCAGATCTGTACTCTATATGTCCAATCAGTTCAAAATTATGTTGGTGAGCACGGGCTCCTTAAACCAACCAAAAATGTAACTTCAGAATCCCCCTCCTCCCTTTGTCTAAAACTTATAAAAGACTACACTCTCCCTTACTCCAGGCTCTCAGCACAGATCTGCTGCATTGGTGAGGTCTGAGAGCCCAAGCTTAAGCCTGAATAATCCATAAACCCTTGCTTTTGCATTTTGGTGTGTTGGGTCCTCGGTGGTCTTTTTGGGGTCCAGTGGATGAGGTATAACATTTGGGGGCTCGTCCGGGATTCCCCCCAGAGACCCCCGAGAGGAACCAACCCCAAAAGGTTTGTGATCAACCAGCCAGGTAAGTTTTTGTAAAATTGTGTGTGCCTGTCTTCTCTACACTTATACTTTGGTCACGACCATCTGATCTCAGTTTTTCTTGTCACTGGAATGTTAGCGAAGCTACCTGGAGGAATCGGGAGATGTCTCCATCCTCGTCGGGGTGGGTATTCCTCACCGGACACCCCACCAGGACAATAGTCCATCTGAAACCTCAGAGGACCATGCGACCCTGTTGGGACACATGTGTCCTATCCATACGGTCTTTGGCATAATCGAGCCAGGGAATTCTCACGGCCGAGAGCCCAGACCATCTGAAAGCCACAGCAGTTTATTTTGGGCCCTCTGTCTATGTCATTCTTGTGTCTCGTGCTTTTTGCTCTAATTTCTTTGTTGATGAAATGGACGGGACTGACAAGCACTATGGGCAATGCCCCATCTTCTCCCCTGGACCTTATGCTAGTCCACTGGGGGGACATCAAGGTGGTCGCTCATAACAATAGCATAGATATAAAAAAAGAAAAAATGGACAACCTTGTGTTAAGTAGATTGGTCCTCCTTAAATGTTGGGTGGCCGCCTGAAGGGACTTTTAATCTAAGTTTGATTTCCAGGGTAGAGGAATATGTCTTTCACCCTTGGACAGGACACCAGGACCAGATCCCATACATCATGACCTGGTGGGGCCTCGTCAAATGACCTGAGGGCACCCCCACCTGGGTCAAATCTTTCCTGCCTCCAACTAACCCGACTGCCCTACCTCTGCAGGTTTTCTCCTTGAAGCAAAAGGTGGAGGAGAAACCCATTCTCCAGGGAGGCGCTGAGGAGAACGACATCTTTCCCCTGCCCTACTCCTCCCAAACGAGCATCCGCAAGCAGCACAGGGGGTTCAAGTGGTGCAGGGAGTGCAGGTGGCGCAGGGGGTGCAGGCGGCTCAGGGGGTGCAGGTGGCGCAGGTAGTTGAAGCGGCACAGGGAGTGCAGGCTGTACCCCCTGACCCTGAGGTGCCACCACCACTTCTGGGGGGACCTGCGCAGGCCACACGGAGCCTGAGGGGGGAGACTCTACAGCCTGACACTGTTGTCCTCCCCTTTGGCCAGCCAGGCCTCCAGATGGAGAGGGCAATCAGCCCTTTCATTATTGGCCTTTTGCCACCAGTGACCTTTACAATTGGTGCTCGCAGAATGTGCCTTTCTCTGAAAACCCAAGAGACTTGATTAACCTATTAGAAACTGTTCTTTTTACTCACCAGCCCACCTGGGACAACTGCCATCAGCTTCTAAGTGTCCTGTTCACCACCGAGGTGCGAAACAGGATCCTGGAGGCAGCCCAGAAATTGGTTCCAGGCCCCACCAGAGATCTTACTACTGATCCAGGCATCATTAATGCCAGTTTTCCCCCTAGCCATCCCAACTGGGATTACAACATGGCAGAAGGTAAGGAGAGGCTCCTGGTCTATCTCCAGACTCTGTTAGTGGGTCTCAAGGCAGCAGCTAGAAAACCCACCAATATGTCTAAGGTCTATCATGTCAGGCAGGGGCCCAAAGAGAGCCCGGCTGCATACTTAGAGAGGTTACAAGACACCTTCCGGCGGTATACTCCATATGACCCAGAAGCAGAGGAATCATCTCAAACTGTGATGTTTGCTTTCGTTAACCAGGCAGCCTCCGACATCAAGAAACATACGTAAAGAGGTTACAAGATGCCTTCTGGCGGTTCACTCTGTATGACCCAGAAGTGGAGGAATCAGCTCAAACTGTGATGTTTGCTTTCGTTAACCAGGCAGCCCCTGACATCAAGAGAAATTTACAGTCTTTAGCTAGACTAGGAGAAAAGAACCTTAGGGACTTAATAGCAGTGGCAGAAAAGGTGTATAATAGAAGGGAGACAGCAGAACAAAAGGAAGAAAAAAGGGAAAAAAGACAGGAAGTAAGTCTGACTAGGGTCTTGGAGAGACAGCAAGCCCACCACAGAAGAGACCTCAGAGAGATATTATTGGCAACGGAGAGAGCTCATCAGCAGGATCCAGACCACGGCACAGAGTAGGAAAGAATCACTGTGCATGCTGTAAGGAAGAAGGACATTGGGTAAGGGACTGCCCTAAGAAAAACAAGAAATCAGCCAAGGTATTACCGGCTCTGGTTGGGGATGAGGTCAGCGACTAGGGGGGATGGGGCTCAGGCCCCCTCCCTGAGCTCAGGGTAACCCTAAAAATAGAGGGGAAACCAGTTGAGTTTATGGTAGACACTGGTGCACAGAATTCGGTTCTGTTGGAGCCAAGAGGGCCAATGTCCTCCAGAACTACATGGGTACAGGGGACCACTGGAACAAAACCTTACTCTTGGACTACCCGAAGAACAGTGGATCTAGGAAAAGGTCGGGTATCCCACTTGTTTCTAGTAATCCCAGAATGCCCCTACCCACTTCTGGCTTATTGTCAAAAATGAGAGCACAAATCCACTTCACAGCTAAAGAAGCCACCCTGCTTGATGATGGAGCACTGATTCAGGTCCTAGTCACCAATGACCTAACCGAAGAATATAGACTACATCAAGAGCCGATTCAACCCAATCCTGAGATAGCCAAGTGGCTCCAAAGATTTCCCCAAGCTTGGGCAGAAACAGGGGGTATGGGACTGGCGGGACACAGGCCCCCCATATATGTTGAACTCAAAGTGGGAGCGGACCCTGTTAAAGTGCGCCAGTCTCCTATGCCCCTAGAGGCAAAGCGTGGAATTACTCCACACATTAAAAGTTTGGTGGAGCTAGGAATACTGAGACTGATCCAGTCGGCCTGGAACACCCCACTCCTGCCTGTCAAAAAGCCCCAAACCGGGGACTATAGACCAGTACAAGATTTAAGAGAGGTAAATAAAAGAGTCATTGACATTCACCCCACTGTCCCCAATCCTTATATGTTGCTCAGTACCTTGCCACCAGATCGGCAATGGTATACAGTTCTGGATCTCAAAGATACCTTTCTCAGCCTGCCACTAGCACCCAGTAGTCAGCCCTACTTCGCCTTCGAATGGCATGATCCGGAGGCAGGAATCAATGGCCAGCTGACTTGGACGCGATTGCCTCAAGGATTTAAGAACTCTCCAACTATATTTGATGAGGCTTTACATGAAGATCTGGGTGAGTACAGAGCCCAACACCCCAACATAAGTCTGTTACAATATGTAGATGACTTATTGGTTGCGGTGCCAGACCAGAAGTCCTGCCTAAAAGGTACTGAGGACTTACTCCACATACTTGGAGAATTAGAATACTGGGACTCAGCAAAAAAAGCTCAGATATGTCTACAAGAAGTGACCTATCTAGGATACATCCTTAAGGAAGGGCAGCGGTGGTTGACTAAGGCCCGCAAGGAAACTGTGCTAAAGATACCCGCACCAACCTCCAAAAAGCAGGTGAGGGAGTTCCTGGGCACTGTGGGTTCTGTCGCCTCTGGATTTTAGGGTTTGCTGAAATTGCAAAACCCCTATATGAGGCCACCAAAGAAGGACAGGACTTCAGCTGGACACAAGAAAGACAAGAGGCCTTTGAAACCCTAAAACACAAGCTCTTAGAGACCCCTGCCTTGGGACTACCAGATGTAAGCAAACCTTTCTGTCTATATGTGGATGAACATAGAGGTATTGCAAAGGGAGTCCTCACCCAGAGGGTAGGCCCCTGGAAGAGACCTATTGTCTACTTATCAAAAAAATTAGACCCCGTAGCAGCTGGGTGGCCCCCTTGCCTGAGAATTATAGCTGCAGTCACCCTGCTGGTTAAGGATGCTAACAAATTAACTTTGGGACAGGACCTGCTTGTGGCGACCCCTCATGCCCTCGAGGGAGTGCTCAAGCAACCCCCGGATCACTGGCTGAGCAATGCCAGTCTGACTCATTATCAGGCTCTGCTCTTAAGCCCACCCAGGATCACCTTCCAGGTACCAACGGCCTTAAACCCAGCCACGCTGTTGTCAGACCCAGATCTCAGAGACCGACTTCTCGACTGTACTGAGATTCTGGCACAAGTGCACTGCATCTGGCCGGACTTGAAGGATGTCCCCTTACCTGATGCCGAAGAAACCTGGTATACAGACGGAAGCAGCTTTGTCAGAAATAGTAAAAGGCATGCTGGGGGAGCGGTCACAACTACCTCGAGCGCCATTTGGGCTGAGCCTCTGCCAACAGGTACTTCGGCCCAAAAAGCTGAGTTGATTGCGTTTACTAAAGCCCTAGAAATGGGCAAGGGAAAAAGACTCAACATCTACACAGACAGTAGATATGCATTTGCCACGGCCCACATTCATGGGGCCATCTATCAAGAGAGAGGTCTCCTCACTGTGGAGGGAAAAACTATTAAAAATAAATGAGAAATCTTAGACCTCCTGCAAGCTCTCTGGGCCCAACAAAACTAGCCATAATCCACTGCCCGGGCCACCAAAGAGGAAACAGCCCCATCCAGAGGGGAAACAATTTGGCTGACAAGACAGCTAAAGAAATAGCCTTGACCCCCTCAATTCTACCCACCCTGGTTGACCCTGGAGCAAGGGAATTGCCTAAAACTCCCCATTATAGCCCCAAGGACCTAGCCTGGATACACACTCTCCCTATGACTCAGTGCCTGGAGGGCTGGTGGAGGACAGTGGATGAAAAAGTTACCTTACCTCAAAATTTGGGTGTAAAGTTGCTAAAAAAAATACATCAAGCATTGCACATGGGCACCCAGAGGATGGAAGACTTACTAAGAAGGGCCAAAGTTAAAATTCAGGAAGGAAACCAAGCTATTGAAAAAATCGTCAGGCATTGTCATGCCTGCCAGCTAACCAACTCAGCTTCATCCCATGCTAACCCTGGATCCAGAAGCAGAGGGACACAACCGGGTACATATTGGGAAATTGATTTCACTGAAATCAAACAAGGAAAATTTGGATATAAATATTTACTAGTGTTCATAGACACCTTCTCTGGATGAACTGAAGTCTACCCGACCAAACATGAAACTGCACACATGGTAGCCAAGAAGCTAATCGAATAAATCCTACCCAGGTATGGTTTTCCAACTATGATCGGATCAGATAATGGGCCAGCCTTTGTCTCTCAGGTAAGCCAGGGAATAGCCACTGCACTGGGGGCCGATTGGAAATTACATTGTGCTTATAGACCCTAGAGTTCAGGACAAGTAGAAAGAATGAATAGAACTCTAAAAGAGACCTTAACTAAATTAGCTTTAGAGACTGGCGCAGACTGGGTGACTCTCCTCCCCTTTGCCCTCTTTAGAATAAGAAACACCCCATATCAGATGGGTCTGACCCCCTTTGAAATCATGTATGGAAATCCCCCTCCTATGATACCCAGCCTTCAAACTGATCTGGTAACGACCTTGGGAGACCAGGATATACTGGACTCCCTCCAACGGTTGCAGCTAACCCATCAACAGGTGTGAACACAACTCAGGGTTCTTTACGAAGCTGCTGTTCCCCCTCAACCCCACAGGTTCAAGTCCGGCGACTGGGTCTTCATCCACAGACACCAACGGAAAAACCTTGAGCCGCGATAGAAGGGCCCCTTCATGATTCTCTTAACCACCCCCACCACACTCAAAGTGGATGGCATTGAGACTTGGGTACACCACTCCCACATAAAACCAGCCGACCCTCTTGCAATCCCAGAAAGTTACAAGGGAGACACCTGGACAGCATCCCCACATCTGAGGTCCTTGATCCATTTGGAGTTGACTTTTGTGCAAGGTGAAAGATAATCTAGTTTCATCTACAGGTGGAGATCCAGTTTTGCCAGCACCATTTGTTGAAGATGCTGTCTTTCCTCCCTTGTGTGTTCTTGACACCTTTGTCAAATATCAGGTTGCTGAAATTGCGTATACTCAGGTTTGGATCTTCAATTGTAGGACCCTGAGACCCTCCTCAGAGCCCCCACTAATTGCCTTCATAGCTTACTGCTTTAAACATGCCCTGACCCTCCCCCCCCACTGCTCCCTCCTCCTCCCCTCTAAGAAACTATAGATTAGGCAAGCCTGGACACAAAACTGCCCTATAAGGAGACACCTGACCCCACAGGTGACAGTCAGCACATTCCACAACCCTGAGATCTGGAAAACCTCCAGATCTGTACTCTAGATGTCCAATCAGTTCAAAGTTATGTTGGCACGCGTGAGCTCCTTAAACCAACCAAAAATGTAACTTCAGAATCCCCCTCCTCCCTTTCTCTAAAACTTATAAAAGACTACACTCTCCCTTACTCCAGGCTCTCAGCATGGATCCGCTCAATTGGTGAGGTCTGAGAGGCCGAGCTTAAGCCCGAATAAACCATAAACCCTTGCTTTTGCATTTTGGTGTGTTGGGTCCTCGGTGGTCTTTTTGGGGTCCAGTGGATGAGGTAAAACACTATGACCCTATCATATTAATAATGTGCTGGTTAGAAAACTGCAGAGAGGGAAAGCAAAGTCTCAATGAGAAAATTAACATTTGTTTACAACAGTACACAGGAAATACGAGATATTTTACAAATCACTTTCTCTTCTTGTTCTTGGTATGTTACTGGGGATGGATCCAAGGCTTCGGGTTTGGTAGGCAAGTTCTCTACTAATGAGCTTTACCTCCAACTCCCCACTTCCTCTTTATAGTTCAAAACATTCGAGAGAATTACATGGTGGTTCTCGTTTTACCAAAGAAAAAAATATTGATCTCTGAGATGTTAAGTGAGAGTTCCACAACATAACAGCTGTAGTTTCAGTTATTTGGCTGAAAGACGGACCTCTCAAATGCCTTCCCCAGCCTTTCCACTTTGTTTACCTACAGAATTATATTCTCCATTTGGCCATCATGGATTTGAGCTAACAAAGCTTAAGGCCCATCCATTCATTGAATTGCAGAGAGCTTATGAACCAGGCTCTCTGGGAGCTGAAGCTATAAAAGAAACAGCAGAATCAAATTCCAGATTCTTATGAAGCTTATATTCCAATAGCAACAGATTAGAACACTTAATAAGATATGCATATACACATGGATGTACACACACATATCAAAGCAGCAAGCTGTGTTATATACAACAATTATTCGTATTTATTTACATGGTATACAGTACACAAGTGTGTGTCTATTTTGATCCCTCCATCAATATCTTTGGAGATGGGCTCTTCACAGATATCAAAATACATGAATGCTCAGTCCCTTGTATAAAAGTTGTAGTATTTGTGTAGAACCTAGGCATATCTTCCTGAAGACTTTAAATCCTTTCTAATTACTAACACTGTAATGCAATGTAAGCGGTATGTCAAGAGTTGCTAAGCTGTATTGCTTTTAAAGGTATATTATTATTATGATGGCATGTTGTGTTTATGATTTTAATATTCTGCTCTGTCACATGATTCTAAAGGTTAAAAACATACAGATGTGGACAGCTATATCTTGTCTGAAATATTATTACTGAGGTAACTCAAGATCATCAATTGTCAGCCGCACCACATTAACAAGGAAGAGTGCAAACTTCTCTTCATAGTGTTTCTATAAAAGAACATTCTGCACCCAATCTCCCCCTGCCCCAAATCTTCAGGCCATCCTGAAACTCTTACTGTGAAATGACATGAAAAGTTGGGTTGGTCTTCATGGGTTGTGTTTTATTAATATCACGTCTGGGGAGTAATAGAACTGTAACTCAGGACTTCCAACTCAGCAGAGGGTGTTCTTTCATGAAACAAATGAGGTTGAATTCTGCTATGCACAGCAGCAGATGCTTCCTCAGTGGGTAAACATGATTCCTTCACGTGTCCTTCTCAAGGAAAAGTCTTAACAGAGGCACCATCCATGGGGAAACCTGTCCGAGGTTACAATGGGTGTGCTTTCCAGTATTTTGAGGGTCTATTCTCCAGAAATAGACTAACCCTGAGAATACATTTGGATTGAGGCATTCTTTTATTTCTCCCTTCCAATATATTCTGTATGACATAAAGTCACCCATACTGAGATTGAGAATTCTGATGTTTGATTAGGAAAAATATGTTTTATCATACTGTTCCAATACATTATTTCTATCAACTAAGTAGAAATGATATCCTGAGAAGAAAAGATATTCCTTTACCGAGCTGATGCTGGTTACTTAAGTGGGTAATCTTAGGCAGTATCTGAGCTTGCTTTCCTATCACCTGCCTCTTTAGGAAATTATCTCAAGCCCAAACATGTTTCTTAGTGTATTTTGAGAATGCTAAAGGAGTACTTAAAGGCACCAAGGATTCTGTTGGTTGTCATATACTTTTATCACTGTAATTGTGCTATTAGATTTTTTTCCAGTTAATGGATTTGGTTTTGGTGTCATATGCCATAGCCACAGCTACTTGGTTCATCTTGCTGTCTTGGCATTCTAAATAAAACTACCATGTTATGAATTTGCTGTGTTAGAAGCATAGAACACATTTGTGTCTTTCACAATATCAGGATTTATTGAATAACATAAATTAATAAGGAATGCCATTACAGTAGTAGATTTGCCAGGTATTTCCACTCTTTTTAGTAATGGTAGCTAAGGTGAACATGGTCCTATTAGTCTAATTTTAATTACTAATATTAATTATCAATATCACACATCACCTGTCAATTTACATACATGTGTATGTGTGTCACAGAGCAATTACAAAGGATTAAAGATGCAAGGAGTTTCAGAAAGGTTTGGGAAGTCAAAGCTGGAAAGCCAACAGTGATTTGAGATGAGAGTTTGCAGGCACGAAGCCTCAGTTGTGAGTTAAGCTGATGTAGGTCAGGTTTGATAGTGAAGCTTCGGGCTAGAGTTCAGCTACATAGACAAAAGGGCAGAACTGGATCCAAATGAAGGAGCAGAATAGGTAGACAGATAGATGGCATGTCCAGACAGGTAAACAGAAGGACAATCAAGTAGTAACTGGATAGGCCACATTAGTAGGAGGGGAGGGACCAGGCTGAGCTGAAGTCCTAAAGGTGATCAAGAGTTCTCTGCCTGTTGGCCCTTAACACATACAGGAGTATGAGGATCTGAGATGGGATCTCCAGTATCCATGTTAAAGCCAGGCATAGCAGTGCTAAGCACAGTGCTAAGAGAATGGAAGGGAGAGAAAAGCAGATCCCTAGAGCTCATTGGTCAACCAGTGTAGACAAATAAATGAGCTACAGGTGCAGTAAGAGACCCTGTCTCAAAAAGTAAGGTGAACTGATCAAAGGAGACACCTGACATCAACTTCTGTCATACAGAACACACATACACACACACACACACACACACACACACACTCACGTGCATGTTATTAGAACCAAAATGCACATGTGTACTCAGAAACACAAAAAATAACATACACTATGAGATAGAGACAGAAACAGAGAGAAAGAGACAGAGAGAAGTAAAAATTAAACAAGAAACACAATAAGTGGTCTTGTGATGGCCAATCCTGGGTGTCAACTTGATTAGATCTGAGATTAACTGAAATGAAAGAGATCTTCTTGACTGGATCATCTAAAGCCGGAAGACACACCCTAAATGTGGGTGTTACCTTCTGATGGCAGCCCATATAAAAA